ATTTGTTTCCTTCAATTAACTATTGAATTGTAAATGTATTTTAAAAGTTGATAACTTTTGTATTTCTTATCGGTTTTACATATATAATATATCAAATTAATCATCTTTTGATGATGTTCGATTTGACATCCATATTGTATATATTGAAATAAATAAATTATAATTATATTTATAATAATAATAAATAATTATATTTATTAAAATTCATTAAAAAAATAAAATTATTTCTCAAATGATATATTTTATGTTTAATGTAGTTATATGTTGTAAGTTAAAAAATTATTATAATATAACACAGGTAAGTCGCACAAATAAAAATTGTCATACTAAATATATAATAATATATATTTTTATAAAAGGTATTTAAAATTTTAACTAATTTTCTCATTAATTTTAGATTTTAAGAAAAAAAATTAGCAAGCACCCATGTAATACACGAGAGTTGTACTAGTAAAAATTTGTAAAGAAAACTTATCCAACAAAAACAACATAATAAGTACTTATAAAGAATCCAAATATTTTCAAATATTTATTTACCTTTCTAATTTTAACAAAGCTGTTAATCTTGGTAGAAAAATGAAAACTTAGTTGAGGGATAACTTATATATAATAAATAATTCAAAATAACAATATTTTACTTTAATTAAGAGAAGATAACTACATTTTTTACCAAAATCATTCACAACTGAAATAAGTATATCCCCTATATATATAATTGCAGAATGCACTGAGCCTAACTGGCATCCTCGCACGCTTCAGAATCCTATTTGGCGAAAAAACATGTTTCGTAGTTAGATTTGGATGAAAATTAACATTATTCTAAATAATAATTATAGGTCGGACATTCCAAAAATATTGAAAAACTAACTTGGTATTTCCATAATAGTTTGACTTATATAACCCTTATGTTGTATGGGAACCTTTGGTAATTATACTGATTGAATAATATAACCTTGATTTATTTTGAAAGTTCTCAATCGGCTCAATAATTTCCATAAAAACCTCAAATTAGCCTAATAAATATATATATTTAATTCTAAATAATTATTGTTATTATTATTTAATTTTATAAATAATTTTCTTATCAATTACCCGTGTAGTGCACGGGTATTGTACCAGTAATCTAATAAACTAGAAAAGTGGAGCAATTCATTATATTTAAATTTTCCATCCGATAATTATTTAAAATATATTATGATATTTTAGTTATTATTACTTTATTTTGACATAGATACTGAATTAACTATAATTCAGAGAATACAACTAAATATTTATCGAAATCAATCACTGGTGCAATATATACATAATCTAACAAACTAGAAGATTCGAACATTTCATTTAACTACTTCGTTAATTTAAGAAAAATAAGCTCTTGAATTTAAAATTGGAATTAAAAATTGTACAATCCCACTAAACTAGTCATTTATTTATTTATTTATTTATTATTTTTTAATTTTTGTCTCAAAACCAATAAAGTTAACAATCTTCACCTGACCATTAGCTGGTTAATATCAAGTTGAGTAATAGATTAATTAATAACACCTAAAATATTTGAATTGTTTAATTCAATAATTTACTAAAACATATCATGATATTTTAATTAATAAACTAATATACAGATTAGTTAAAACAATTTGATTAGTTAGGTTAATTAGTTAATATACAGATTAGTTAAAACAATTGGATTAGTTAGGTTAATTAGTTAACTAGTGCGTATCCTGTGCGATGCACGGGTAAATAACATTAAATAATAATTATAAATAAGAACGAGTTCGAGTCACCCAATGAAAGAAGTGGGGAACCACTATTGATCTTATCTTAAAAGAGCAAGAAAAAATATTATAAATTAAAGATGAGGGTAAACGATATTAAATAATAATTATAAATTAACGATGTGGGGTTAACATGTCATATAATTTACGGTATATCAGTTTATTATAAACGATATAAAATTAGCTTGTTCAAGAGAACATAAAATTTGTATGTTTAAACAATTAAAAACTCCTAAAATATTATATTGACATATGTAAAATTATCTAAACTTTTCTATATTATTATCAAAAGATGTGAAGTCACCTAAAACTTTTTTAAATTTTTTTGTAAAGAAAATATATCTAAAAGCATTAAAGTTTACATTTGTATGAAAGATGTTTTCTGAATATGACATGATGAAATATTATATAAAAGTATCTAAAATATTATAAGCCTAAATAAATATATTATAAAGTTTTTGAAAGAAAATTTACCTAGTATATATGTTAAATAATATTGACATGGTGCTGAAAATTATGACGATACTACCGTATTTGAAATTTTAAGTATAGAAGATTTCAAAATTATTATTATTATTCTTTTGAGTAATTTAAGTACAAAATATTACAAAATTATTATTATTATTCTTTTAAGTAATTTGAGTACTGAAGATTTCAAAATTTTTATTATTTTTTAGTTTCTGTAAATATTATTATTATTCCTTTAAGTAATTCGAGTATATAAGATTTCAAAATTATTATTATTTTTTAGTTAATGTAAAAAGAAATTTTATACGCATAATTTCACGTTTTATGCAGATTTATCAATTTACAAATAAAACGGGATTTATTTTATATTGAATGGAGACTAAGACAATTTTGAAAAAAAAAAACTGTCTATTTCTTAATTATTGTAAAATTTTGAAGCTTGTGGAAAAAAGTTAAAGAGATGAATTTCAATTGATTTGAAATTCTTAAACTATTTTGAATTTCGTGCAAATTGAAACCTAAAAAAATGAAATTCATTAAAATTTTGTAATTTTCAAGAGGTTTGTTAATTTTTTAAAGTTGCGCAAAATCTTCATTTAAGTTTATCCGTCCAAGGATAGAAGGATGTGATTAGATATTTTTTAATTTAATCTGAACAAAATCCTTTATATTAGGAAGAGATTTTGAATCAAGCCCAATTTTATGGCAACTAAAATGAGAAGGAATTTTGAATTTCAAAATTTCAATTCAAGTTTTGAGGTGATTTTTTTGGCAATCTGATTGTTTGGAATTAAAAACACAATTGAATTTTTTAAATCAAATATGAGAAAGGATTTTGAATTTCAAATTATATTCAATGATCGAAATTTTTAGAACTTAATGGAACCAAATCCACCAATTTATCTCTTAGGGGTTTAAATGAACTGTAATTTATTAATTGAACCAAATCCACCAAATAAATGAATTGTAATTTATCAATTGAACCAAATCCACCAAAGAAATTAACTGTAATTTTTTTTTTTAAAAAAAATAAAAGCATCTGATTAAAACAATTGTAATAGCCGAGTTGATGTTAAAAGAATTTCTGATTTTTTGTAAATACTAACGTAAGTTTATATTATTAAATAAGGAATAATTTATTTTTTTTTAATAAAATAAAATTTGCAATGTAATACGGCTATATGTTAAAGAAAGTTTTTTTTTTAATTTGTGAAAATGAAAAAGGAACAGCCTAATATTGCGCAAAAATAAATAACAAACTCTACTTAACAAACTCCACATTTAACTGCAATAATTAATGATGCACTTTTGTAAATAAAAAAATAAAATAAAAACATGCTATTAATAGCACGCAATTAATGCTCAACCATATTTGACCACAATTTGACTTGCCATTTTTAAAAAATGGTAATTTTATATATATATATA